CTTCGAATTGTTTACAAACGAATGAAAATCACAAAATTATCGCAGGTCTACGATAATGTGCATATATTCACGAGTATTTAAAAAAAAATTCATTAAAATTGGTTGAGAATTCAGCCGTCGAATCCTGTTTGAATATGACGACTCGGCGAAATACCTCTGTGCGGACGTAACAAACATATTTCATAACAAAAATGTAAAAAATGTAAGTTAAAAAATCTAATTTTCTACAATTCGTCGTGTTTAAAACACTATTAGAATTAGATTAATTAAATTAAATTTCTTTAACAATGTTGTTTGTAAATTAAATAAATAAAATTTTACAAAGTGCTACTGTTTCCTCAATGGCACCACAATGTTAGTGGCTTAAATCGCACCGCGCATATAGCAACACGAGACGCACACATAACCACAATGCATGTCGCGCAAGCATTGTGGTTATGTGTGCGTCCATAACTTCTCGCACTACAGAGTGGTATACGTGTGGCGAGACAAAATTTTTCGAAATTATTCTTTTGAAAAAGAAATTTGTTTATACGATAACGACAACGTATCTAATTAAGTGTATTTTTATTAAGATTTCAGGTGAGTGAGGTTCACATAATTTCTACATTCTCCTAACCTCCTAAATTGCACATTGTTTACATCGCGATTTTTGTTATTTTAATGTAAATATATACTTAATACTGCGATCGGAAATACTGAACCCCATGTCCGGATGCACCTGTGTATCATCCCTGTTTAAAATGGTGCTGTGTTCGGTTTGAACGCTTACACGCTTAACGCTGCATGTGCATTCATGATGTGTATTATAGAGGTCATCATTCTGTCTTTATCGTTCGTTAAACGTAAAAATAAGGATAAAATCTCTGACAGCGCTAAAAGCGTTCAAACTGGACGTTACCTAGGTGAACAACAAGGTTAAAACGATACATGGAGGCACTCGGGTTTCCAAACGCAGCCTAAATGCTTATTTTCTTACAGAGAATGGAAAATGGCTAAAAAAAGACAATATGGAAAATGGAGTCCAAATTCCATGAATATTGCTATCAAAGAGTACTCGGATTGTAAAATAACGTTAAATAAATTGTAACGAAAATACGGCATTCCAAAAGAAACATTTTTACGACATTATCGGAATCAAGTTGCACGTGGAACAGAACAAGTTAATATGGACTCCGTGAACAGCAGAATACCAACTTTGACACGTGAATTTGAAAAAGAATTGATTGACGTTATTTTAAAATTTGAAATAAATTTGTTTGGATTAACTCCTCTTGACGTTAGGCGATTAGCAAATCAAATAGTCAAACAAAATTCTCTTCCCAATCCTTTCAACAAGGAAACACAAATAGCTGGCAAAAAGTGGTATTATTCGTTTATGAAACGTCATCCAGAATTAAGTCTCCGACAATCAGAAAAACTATCTATTAGTCGTGTCAAAGGTTTTAACAGAGATAATGTCTTACATTTCTTTGATATTCTTAAAAAAATTGTGGATGAAAATAAATTAAACGGATATAAAATTTTTAATGTAGATGAATCAGGTTTTCAAACTGTTCAGAAAAAAAATCCGAAAGTTTTGACAATGAAAGGGAGAAAACTTGTAGGAGCTCTGACAAGTGCAGAGAGAGGTGTTAATACAACTGTGGTATGTTGTACGAATGCAGTTGGTGTATTTATTCCACCAATGATCATCTTCAAAAGATTACGTATAGATATTTCTTTGGCAAGCGGTGCCCCTGCGGAAAGTCTTGTAGAAATTTCAGAGACCGGTTACATTAATAGTGAACTTTTTCTGAAATGGTTTAAGCACTTTCTGGCATATGTACGACCATCTAAAAAAAATAAAATGCTTCTTCTATTAGACAGACACACCACGCATTCAAAAAATCTGAATGTTATCAATCTGGCACGTGAAAATGGAGTGCTGCTACTACAATTGCCGGGTCATACCACCCATCGTCTCCAGCCCCTAGACGTCTCAATTTTTAAACCGTTTCAGTTATATTACGATGAAGCAGTAGTGAAATGGCACAGAACCAATCCTCCTCCTCTGAGACAGTGCCACGTGTCTACTTTACTCTCTGAAGCCTATCTAAAAATAGCAACAATGAGCAACGCCGTGAATGGCTTCAAAGCTACAGGTATATGGCCGGTAGATCGTCATATCTTTAACAACACTGATTTTATAGCAGTTGATACATTAATGTCGCCAGAAAATTGCCAATCACCAGAAAATGAGATTGAAGAAACAATAGAAGGAATTAATATTCCTGCTTGTTCAACTGAAAACAATCAATCGAGAAAGAAGCTCAAAACTGTCCATGAAATCTGCCCACTGCCTTGCCCAACTATTACAAGAAACAACAAGCTGCCTCAGAAAGCGGAGATTCTAACGACAAGTCCGTACAAAGAAAAACTCGAAGAACAACAAAAGAAGAAATCACAAAGAATTGCCAGAAAGGTCGAGTTATTTCCTGGACCGTCAACTTCAATTAATTCATCAAAACTAAAAACTACAAAACGTAATTCTAACAAGAAAAAATCAACACAATCTAAAGAATTGCATTTTGCTGAGAAAAAGATTGAAATAAATGAAGATGATTGGTATTGCTATTCTTGTCAACAGAATGTAGTAGAAGATATGGTGCAATGCATTTTATGCAAAAGATGGGCACATGAATCATGTGAACATATATCAAAAAAAGAATTACGTTTTATATGTGATTTTTGTACAAGTAGATAGACTAAGGGGATTCTGGACCAGGAGCAATGAGGGGGGGTGAGGTGCGCGGGGAAGGTACGCGGGGGGG